AGTTTTAAGTGCCATGTAGGGGAAAGACACCCCTACATCAGGTTAAACCAGTTCCCCATCAATCATTTTAATGTTTTCTCTGACTCTATTAAGTGTGGAGTCTTTCCAGTTGTTCTGTACAAAAATCCTCTTTTCTGACCTCTTAGTCAGGCACCACATTCTGTCCATTCTCATTAGAGCCAGAGATAATTTCTTGGTCAGTGTACTCAACCTCTGTGTTGGAATCCAGCTCCTCCTGCTCCCCAGCCATTACAGAGAACGGAAAAGGATCTACCCCTTCCTTGGACACACTTCATGAAGTAATGCGGGTACCACTCCCAGCGAATGTGACACAGAGCCCCAGGGAGTATCAATCTCAACCATAGTAGTCTGGTAGTCACATGTATCACAATGTATAGAGATAACCTCAATAGTGCTAGGGTGTAACTTTGCAGGGTTTATAAAATCCCCTTTTGACTAAGGTCACAACACTACCAGAGTCTAGCAGAGCAGTTACTGGCTTTTGATCAACTGAAATCACACACATTTGCGCTTCCATTTGGCTCTGACATGCTGCAGTACATAACACCTCAGAAAAAAAAAGAGGCGTGCGTTTTTCCAAATAAGCATTATCACATTGCATTGGTTCATCATTTAGGGAACTGTTAGCAGCAATATGGCCTAACACATGGCAACGATAACATTTTATCGGTCCTGCACCCACTCCTCTAAACGGCCTCAGGGACCTTCCTGACCTATTTGGTCAGTCTCCAGGTCCTGAGCCCATAGTCTCATTATCTGTAGCAATAGTCTTGTAATTTTTCCCCGAGCCCTTGAACCCTGGAATAGTCTTACCAGATCCTCTGGGCGGTTTCTCACCCCGCGAGTCATTGGGGTGGTGCATGTGTGTGCTCAGTAGGTCCTCATCCACAGTATATCTCTCCACCAGGTGCACCAGCTGGTTTGCAGTCTTAGGATCTCCATGTCTGACCCACTTCCTCAAAGTGGCAGACATGGCAAGTAGATACTGGTCCATGAGCACACACTCCACAACCTGAGGGGATGACAAAGTCTCTGGATGGAGGCACTTCCTGTTGAGATGTATTAAGTCAAACATCTGGGAGCAAGGTGGCTTGTCAGAACTATATGACCACCTTTGCACCCGCTGAGCCCAGACCGCAATGGTGATGCCCAGTTGCGCAAGAATTTCAACTTTAATTTCTCATAATCCTGGGCAACCTCTGGTTCCAGGTCATTCTAGGATTTTTGGGGTTCACCAATCAGAAAAGGTGCTAGCAGTCCCGTCCATTGCTCCTTTTGCCATCCTTCCCGATATAGCAACTTTCCCAAATGTTGAGGTTGAGGTAGGCTTATACATCATCTGCCAGTGTCATCTTTTGCAGGTAATATCTGGCATGTACCATTCTCTGTTTCACTGGCAGCAGACCCCCTCTTTAATTCCATCAGGTGTTAGGCCATCTCCTTAAGGAGTTCTCGGTCTGCTTGTTGGGCCTCTGCAAACTGGTTATTTCCCTCCTGCTGCACTGCAATGGCCTCTGCAGACTGGCAGTTGGTTTCCTGCTGGCTTGCTGTGGTCTGCAGCAAGGCTCTTATCACATCCTCCATCTTCCCATTTGTTAAGGAAGTTGCCTGCATCCTCCACCATATGGGGGGGTTAGCTCAGGTGAGGATCACCTGATAAAAGGCAGTCCAGACGGCAGATCTTTCTTAAAACTGTCCACCTGCAGCCTCTCTGACTCCTGTAGGAGACCTTCTGTCTCTCTTGGGTGGAGCCCTGAAGTATTCCTAAACCTGCATTATAAGGACTGTGGGCACCTGGGCACACACCCTGCTGTTCCTCCACAAAACCCAGACACTGGGTTGGAGATTCCGTCCCACCCAAGACACTATAGAATCTCCAAACTAGGGAGCCCCATCCAGGACTACCAAAACCTGGAGAAAGCTGCAAAAGCAGTTCTCCATTCAGAACATATGTTCCCTGGTCCTGTACTCAGCAAAAGTGCAAACCCTATGTCCTTTTGCTGACCACTTACACAGTGACAGAAACTCGTACTGTCACAATATGTATATTCAGAATTCTATCTTTAAATGCATGAACTGCTTATCGTTTTTAGAACAGAATATTTTCATTAATGTGGTTCTTTAAATCACCATGTAAAGAGGCTATAACATTAAAGATGTCCATCCCGAAATGTTTAACATTTTTGGATGGTGGGTGTGAGAGTGCACTGTGGGTAAAACTACCAATATATAATGGGTTGTTGGTATACATAACAGCTGACAGCAGCATGCTGTTTCCCAAGTAAAGCTTAAAGCCCAACTCCAGCCAAAAAACTATTTATTTTGTTTTGCATAGAGTGGAGAAGCGTTAATGTAATTCAGAGGCCTCCAAACTCTTCAGCTTACTGACCTCTTAGTTAAGTTGCAGATTGTTATTTAGCACCCCAACATTGACTGTAGGAAATTATTTTAATAATTACTACTTTAAATAGGAGTACTATGAAATATAATATTCAAGTGAATACAGTGGACACTCTCTTGGTATCACCAGCTGGTATAATTCTGAATTTAGTAAAGTAAATGCACAGAAAATAATTCTTTGGTGCCACTCTTATCTCTATGGGCATAGTCACTGGCTCTCCAACACAGTTTGAAGTGGGTATACTCCATGGCTCTCCAGTGGAGTTTGAAGTGAAATACTTGCTGGCTCTCCAACAGAGTGTGAAGTGTGTATACTCAATGACTCTCCAACAGGGTTTTAGGTAGGGGAATATGCTCAGTACGGGAAGTGAACATAAAGGTTCATCCTTTCTGAGTGCTGACACACAACACAAAGCACTCTGGTAAACATCTTAAAGCGATTCTAAAGGTTCTTTTTTTTTTTTTGGAAAATAACAAACATGTTATACTTACCTGCTGTCTGCAGTGGTTTCGCACAGAGCAGCCCCAATTCTCCTCTTCTTGGGTCCCCCACAGGCTCTCCTGGCTCCTCCTGTCTGTCGGGTACCCCCACACAGCAAGCAGCTTGCTATGGGGGCACCCACTGCTCCGTGTGTCCATTCATGCCTAGAATGCATGAAGGTAAAAAACCTTGAGCCTTTACAGCCACTTTAAGGTCCCTCTAGCTGGTGGCTCACTATCCATCCTTGGATAACACCGTCTTAACACTAGCTTCTTCACTTTTAGGATAAAGAACTGGCTTGGAACTCTACAGAGACCTCAAAAGAGTCATTGACTCTAATTGACCTAACATCAAACATCTATTGACCCCCTTCAGTAATTTTCTGACCCCATAGATATTTTATCTACCCTTTTGATAGTCTTATTGACCCTTTGGGGAGTCATTATTTGACCATTTTGGGCAGCCCTGGATTAGAGCTTCTGCTCTTTTTTTCCTGTGTCCTTATTGTGGACAATTCCTTCCATTTCCTGTCAGGACAGGGAAGTAATCAGAGATATTTCTTATGGAGAAGCAAACAAAATTACAGTTTAGATGTGTATGGAGGGTTAGAACATTTGACAGTGTTTTATTGGCATCTGGGCCTGTCCGTCTCAGTGACAACCACTTTCCATATTTTTTTTGTCCTGGAGTCACAGGAACAGGAAATGAGTTGAACAGTGAGGTTGAAACAGAAAGAAAACTCTGGAAAAGGTTTAACGTGGTTGTAAACCTTTTATATGTACCCTGTTAAGTGACTATCCTCAGGTAATACACAGAAATGAAACAAATCCTCCGACATAAGTTGTACCTGTATATCTACAGCCGTCTTTCCCCTACATCCATTCAAAGTGCAGAATTTACACAAGATCTCTCAGCTCAAAAAAGCAGAGGGTGGAGAGCTGAAGTTACATCCATGAGGAGAGCTCTGAGAGCTCATTGGAGGGAAAGGACACACCCCTTAACATAGCACACAGGAACAAAGCTGAGCCTGTCAATCAGCTGGAGTTCCCTCCCCTGTCACCATTTTTCTCTTGGTGTCAGGAAAACTTGTCAAAAGTGACTCATGCTGAAAGCAGAGGAATGAATTACCAGACAAAAATGACACTTAGTGCTCTGGACTGAGACAAGCACACACTATAGAAGGATATGCTTTTTTCATATTCATGTTTGAGGTTTACAACTACTTTAAAGCAACATTAAACCCTAAAACAATGTATTATTTAAGGTTACCAATTCTTACATGTGGTGGCTACATTAGCTTTCATTTGTTAAAGTGGTTACATTCTAAAAGTGTTTTACTTTAATGTATTCTACCACAACCCCCCCCCCCCCACACACACACACACACACCTTCCATGACTATCTGTCCTACCCTCCCAGACTCTGACACTTACCTTGCTCTTATCATCGCTCCAGCACTGTCTCCAGAGACACTAAGGGCAGCTGAGCCATAGGTTCCTGTGCAGGGGGTGGGGGAACACTCAGGAATATGCATGCAGGGGCCAGAATGAGAGAAGGTGATAGCACGGGCAGGGGACTGCCAGAAGAGGATGTAAGGGACCTCTTATTAAAAAAAAAAAAAAAAGACTTTACCATTTTTTCCCCTTTATTTTCACCTGGGTCCCAAAAACAATACAGGTAATAAAAAAATAACCGCAAACAGCGCAACAGAGCAGCTTGCTTTGTAGCTTCCTCTGTCTAATAGAGACCTTAGACTGAGGTGTCTGATATGGAATGAGCCCAGGCTCTAATGACTCATTGCAGTTCTATGAAGGCAGTGCTTCTTTTGGCACAACTGAGCCTTATGATATGGAAAGATGAGAGTGCCACCTTCTGGTTGGAGATTACATAATAGTAATATTTGCAAAACGTCATATTTTCCTAACTTCAAAAATGTATTTGAAGTCCATGGTATTATAAAGAATGAAATAAAATATACATCCACTATACCTTCCTTTTTAAGTACATTACAGATTTGAAATTCTTACTTCATTTTTTTTAGGATACAGCTGGTCAGGAGAGATACAGGACCATCACAACTGCCTATTACAGAGGTGCAATGGGATTTATACTGATGTATGACATCACAAATGAGGAGTCCTATAATGCTGTCCAGGACTGGTAAGTAGATTTCACTGCAGAGCTGCAAGATAAATCCTACAGGAATCTCAAGTGTACAGTTCAATTTCTTCCAGCAATGGTGCTTACCACATCTACTATATTATGAGATTGGAAATTTGTGTGATTGGAAATATGTGGGAATCTGATTTGTATTTTTCAGTGCAGGTATGACAATACTCACAACCAATACAAATATAAAAATAACCTGATATTATCTACAATTACTGGATATCTTGATCCCGACTACCATTCTCTAACTAGGATATAAAGCCATGTTAACATTCTTGCCTGAATAGACATTGTAATAGAATAAATTAGATATTTTTCCCAGGGAAAATGCTGTTCTAAGCTCGCCTCAGTATTGAACAACGTGACTCCAAGCCTAGGCATTTTGGTCATGTGATTTTTAATAAGGAGATAATCAGATTTTACATTGGCTGATCCCTCACTTGGTCACTTGGGCAAAGGCCAGTGCTGTAGACACCAGCATTTATCTAAGAAAGGTAAGCTTTGAAGCCCTCCTGTTACAACTTTGTATCAGTTCCAGCTAGACTACTAACATAGCTAACTGTGGACAGGCTACAGACATTCAATTATTTACCTATTCTCAAGGAACACTGAATGAGCCTAAACAAGCATTGGTTGACACCTGTAGATGCAGCAATTTTAGCAGAACACCCACTATGCATTCCTTTTAAGTACATTACAGATTGAAATTCCAGCAGAAGCACTGAAGTCAGCTGAGGCAATCTGTGAGCTCTCTCTGCTCCCCCTCCCAGCAGTGACTCAGCAGCCTTCCAATCAAAAATGTAAACACAGAGCAAGTGCTATGAAAGGGGCACAAGGGTGAACTGAGCTGTTGGGCCCATCCTGCTTGGGAAAGTCATGCTGGCACTAAGGTATAAACTCATCTTTTGTCTGTTCTTTGACTCAATAGATAGTGAAGCTAGGGTCATACTTAACATATTTGGAGCCTGAAACTTAAAAAAAAGGCTGCATTCAGGTTTGTATCTTAACATTGTCAATGTATTGAAAAGGATCTCAAATTTGGAAGCTGTGCCCAAATAATAGCAAGCAGAGGGCAAAATGCTAATCAGCAGTATTGCCTGTGGTCTCTCTGAAGCTGACCTTTCTTCATTACTGACTTATACCTTGTTTGGCATTTTGTCTATGTGTAGAAGCACCCACCGTGGTAGAGGTCTTCCAATTATCAGTCTTCAGCAATGAGAAGAGTGAGAAGCAGTAGTGAAATCGCCAAACTCGCTCAGTTCTCTCTCCAAGTCTCCATTGAAGACTTTACTAGCTCCATTACCGCTCAGCAACTGCTTTCAAGTTGTTACTCCATGTGAAGAGTTCCGTAATTGTTCTAATTAAGCCCTGGTGAAAGGGGCAATGTGTGCACCCCTGCCCCCGAAACACGTTGGTGATTGTATCCGCTACGTGTTTGGAAAAAAAACACTTTTTGGATTTCAGCATTTTAGTGTGACGCTCCAAACTTCTGATCCAACTATTGCATCCTAAACCTAGAATTCGAAGGCAGCAGTGCCTTGGATCTCACTTTGCAGATATATAGATACAGTATAAGGCTTTAGACACAGGAGTGCCTAGGCACCCTCACATACCAGGAGGTACATTGCTATTTTTCAGGAGAAATCCAATACAAAATTAAAATGTTTCTGGGTACTGCTTAGGCACAATTAAAATTTCAGATGTTCTATGTAACATAAGAAATATTCACTTTTTAAATTCATGTCTGCTTTGCAGCTGTACTTTGAGAATGATTCTGACCACTTTCTGTGGTTTCCCCTTTTCCTGCACAGCCTGTGTATATGCAATGCAAAAACACTCATTCTAATGCCTTTATTTTAACCCCAAGTCATGGTCAGGTGACACATCTATCTCAGTACAGCAGTCATAATGTTGGCTAGGAAGAAGACACCAATGGCACAGAGAGTTCCTGTACTGCTTGGCGAACTTTGTCAATCAATTGGTTGGTTTATTTCGAGCTGGTCACTGTGCAATCAATCCTGTTCAAACTTGGATGACATGACTACATCATATTCTGTTGTCTGAGAAACCGAAGGACATGTGGCTTGACAGCCAACATTCTAATATAGCAGTAAGGGTGCTCAATTGTTCGAGGAGAGGTGGTGATGGATTAAGAGTTCTTTACTACTACCACTGATGGATTTACCTGGAGATTGGTTATAAACTGAAATGGAGTATGGGTTGGCTTTAAAATGGATCTCTTCATTTTTAGTGGGGGACAGAGTTTAATTACCTTCCTAGTCAATACTGCTGTCCATGACCTTGACTGGGGGACTCTACACACCTCTGACAATTCCAACATGTTGAATGAGTTACTGTTGTAACCAGCCGAAGTACGGTCCCCATGTATACTTATGGAGAAGACACTTGGGCCAGTAACATTAGTATCTCAGCTGCAGTGAAAACCTATCATGTAACGGCTTTCCAAGAAGATAGAAGAAAATCTGGCTTCTGGATGGCAGTGAAGGCACAGCCATAGATCCTCCTTTGGGCTGAGAGGGAGTGGATTAAATTTTGAAAAGCATATGAGGATATGTGACATAGCTGGTCAGGGTGAAATAGACACATATCAACCTTTTAGTGGAAGATTGAAAAACCCTACTGTTGTTTTAACAAGGGAACAATATTTTCTAACCCTTAAAGGCAATTGGTTAACTCCCTAGAACAACACACTAGTGTTTTTGTTTTTTTTTTTTCAAACAAATATTAGTAGCCAATTATATTTTGCTTATTTAGAAACACATTTATGGCTTTCTGAAGCAATCTATTGACTTAGAAAAACTATTCCACAGCTCTTACAGCAAAGAATCCTGAAAAATGCACCAACGAAGTCTGTATTTACCTCTGTTGCACAGTTGAAGCACTGTAGTGCACAGAAAATAAAATATAGTGTATTGGAAATAATAAAATGGTCACATTCCTTGGTCCTCTCTGAAACTTCAGTTTCTAAATTTACTGATGATCTGACCTGAGGGCTAAATGTTATAACTTCTTATCTTCACTTTTCATAAAGCGATTGTAAAGCGATTGTAAACCTCTGAAATTAAAAATGAACAAAGCATATCAAAACATATTCTTCTATAGTGTATACTTGCCTTGATTCAAATCACCTTTGTAATTGCTCTGCTCAGTCATTCCTCTGCTATCTGCATCAGGGGTGTATTTACCACAAGGCAAACAAGGCAAATGCCTAGGGCATCATTTTTCACGTGGGCAGTGCTGCCCTCCAAAAGAAGGGATGGAAGAAGGGACATACGCAGCACAGGGACCAGGTAGGATCTGAGAGGGGTTGTAGGCTGCTTGATGGTGTATGAAGAGCCTGGCTCTTGTTCTTGGGGATGTCCAGAGCTGTGAAGGTGAGTGTCTTATCTCTTGTCGGGGTGGGGTTGCCAGTGTGTGGGGGGCTGAGGTGGTGTTGGTCAATGTCAGGCTCTCTGCTTGGGGGAGGGAGGTGTTAGTCGGTGTCAGGGTTTCTCCATGGGGGGGAAGAGACAATTTTTGTGTTGCCTATGGCAAGCACGAAACCTAAATACACCACTGATGTGCATGAGTCATTTCTGAGAGTCTATGCCAACACCAGGGAATCCGGGAATCCTGGGAGATGTCCTTTTTTTTTTATTTAACTTTGATTTGATTGTCCAATATACAAAGAACAATATATTTACAAAAATAATTCACATATACCCATTCCATTATACCCCCTAATACCCCTCCCCCTCATCCCCTTTTTCCCCATCTCCATCCTCTTCTTGACTTATATCCTTTCTCATATTTATCTACTTGTTTCTTTATCTCCAACATTGCTCTCCCTCAAAATCACAATTAAGACTCCCTCCTGGCTTCTACTTTTCTCCACCAATTCCCACCAGTTCCATATATCTTTCAGAGGTGTTAAATTTCAACCAACTACACCTAATTTTCCTGACGTTTTCCATTTTATCCTCCTCTGTATGACATAACTCCTCCATCCTATAAATATTTTCAACTCTATTTATCCATTCATTAATTTTTGGAACTTCAGGAACCTGCCAAAACTTGGGAATCAGACTCTTAGCTGCACTAATTAGATGATAAAGTACCCTGTTTTTATATAATTTCACTGAGGGCTCAAAGTTATAGAATAAACAACTCCAGGGATCTCTCTGTACAATTATCCCATATATCTCCTGAATATAATGAATTTTTCTCCAGTAATCCTGTATTTTTGGACAACTCCACCATATATGTGCCATTGTACCTCTTTCTCCACATCCTCTCCAACACAAAGGTGATGTGTCTACTTGTTGTCTGTGAGCAATGTTTGGTGTAATATACCATCTATTTAAAAATTTATAATTAATCTCCACTGTGCTCATATTTGTCGCCTCATGTGTTAATTTAAAAACTTTATTCCATTGCTGTACATTCAATTCTGTTCCAATCTCTTTTTCCCAATTTTTCAAGAACCCCGGAGGATCAGTTCCTTCTATAGCCATTAGGACCTTATAAATCCTAAAAGTAACATGTTTTGGGATTGTTTTTTCATTTAATAGTTTTTCAAATGGATACATGTCCTCCGATGTCCTCAATGGTTGAGGGAGACTTGAAACAAAGTGATTTAGTTGATAATACCGCCACTCATCAAATGTGATAAATAAATCTTTTTTCTGCTTTAAATTTTGAAAAATTTGCATTTTCCCTTCATTCAATATATCTTTCACACGTGCATTCTTATCCTTTTACCATTTCTCAAATACTGTATATTAACCTTCCCCGGAGGGAAATTGTGACAGTGTGCAGCTTCAGACCCCAGCCCTTCTCACCAACTTGTGACCGAAGGACCAGCCGATCTCACACTGCGCTGTCACTTGCGTAGCAATGCCACTCTCAGCTGTGTCCTGCACAAAGATTTTCCAGCTCGCGGGACCACAATCTATGTGCCAGCAGCCTGAGAGCGATTGTTACAGGGTCAG